TTCCCACAAGGATGGTTTCTGACCAAGACTCACATTCATCCCGATGGGGGAGGGGGACACATGTTGCAATCCTTAATATAATAACGAGTCTCCAGGACTCCTGGGCCAACATCCAAGGCTTACGCCCCCCACCCCCAGGCAGTGACTGAGTGACCCCGTACCCAGATTCATACCGACTGTTGAAAATGTGTAAGGTTTGAATTCTTTGAGGATTGTCCTACCAGACAAGGTAAAAAAGGCTGATAAGATTCCACCTTATCTCTCTAATGGGGATTCAGTTTTACGTACTAGCTCCTTTGGGGAGTGAAGGGGTGACATGGGCAGGAGGGCAGAGTAGAAGCAACAGAATCTCTACAGGTAACTTAGAGAATCTTACAGGGCTGGTGAAACCTTAGTAAAATGCATCGACCAATGGGAGGACACATCATGGCCTGAAGTGAATTGATCATGTAATTGTAAAGTAAAAGGAAGTAAGTTCCTATATATGGCTGTTCTTGATTAATGAGTTTAGGCAAAATTCCTTCATAGTACACCTCTGATCATTAATGTATTTGAGTGTACTCTGACTTACAACTTTCCCAGTCCTTGTTTCAGTCTCAGAAAGAGATCACTTGGGGAAATGAAGCAGAACCACACCTATGGTTCCCTACCTTCTATTTGCAAGATAACTAGGTATATCCCACCTTTTTGGCAGAGTGATTTTATATTGTTTCCCTCAATGCCTCTTTGAGGACCCTCCATTTCATGTTATCTATAGGCCTCCTTCATACCTTATCTTGGGTGGGTAGTTCCTAAAAACTCTCCAGTATGGCCTAACACTGTTGGACCTCCCTGATGCAAACAGCACAGATCCAAACTTGGCACCTGTGCTATAGAAAGCTGGTAAAAGGCATGACTCTGCAATACTGAAAGGGAGCATACTCTGGCTAGAACAGGACTTAAGACAATCCCATTCATCTAGCATCTAAGCTGGATGTTCTCTAGGAGAGCTGTTCCCTATTGTAGAACAGATTAAATAAGGTGTTACTATTCTCTCCCACCCTAAGCATTCATCCGAGTAATAAGGTGTCCAATTTTATACCTAGCAGCCGCTTTTTAGACCCAGTCTACATATATCACTGTATGGAAAAAGAAAAGGAAGTCTAGATAAGGGAAGAAAATCATTCAGTCTCAAACAGACATTTCATAACAGAGTCTATATTCAAACCCAGCCCACAGAGGTCAGGTAAATAGTTTGAGGTCATATGTCTAGTTGATAGCAACGCTGGGACTAGAATTATCTCCAATTTCAAGACTTTTTTTCCACTACAGCCTCCCTCAACCTAGCTACCCTTAGTAGATTTCCCCACCCTGACTATGGATTCACTAATGCCTTTGCAGTTATCTAGCTGAGTGCTGGGGAAGAGGGTAAGTGGAGCTACCTGGGAATGCTACTGACCAGGCCTGGTCTTCTTTGCTATAGTCCTATTTGCCTTGCCACCTAATTCCAGTTTCATGGCTTAAACCTTTTAGTACTTCTCCTACCGAATCCCTCTCCCATGCATGATTACTATCTTGCTATTTCAGGTTTCTGTCAGCCTGGGTAAAATCTTCACTCTTTGTCCTGACACTGAGTTTTTCTCTTTGATGTTATCTCATCTGCCTGGGGGGCCGGCTTACCTTCCTACCCGTCCACTGGCATCTCACTCAGTTCCTCCCACAGCTCCATTTTTCACCACCGTCATACTTCCCACTTCCTCTCTCCCTTCCCCTTTTCTTGGAACTATGGCTCCTGAATTTCTTGCCCCCATCCAAACTGGATGACTTTTCTCCCTCTGCTTAAGGTAGGGGGATGAGCCGTGAAAGCCCCAAATGCCATCTTTCTTCTTATTTCCTATTTCTAGCACATATCCTATTTATAACTCTGCCTCCCTCTAAGCAGATTGACACAGCACTCTGCTTCATTCCCAGAATAAATGCAATTCAAGAATAAGAGACAAGTCCAGGCTCCCAGGATTCTTCTGCAGTAGAGCACTGGTTAGGAGTTTTTCTGCCAGCATTTGAGAAATGTCTCTGATGGCAACTATGCTTCTCTGAGCCCATCTTCCACTGTTCTGGAAATTCCTTCCATATAGGATTTTCTTCCTGGCAGATTTCCCTTCCTGATTATGTCTAGACCAAGCTTCTATTAAAGGTGGGTGTTATTCCCCTAACATACATTGATCATGCCATAAAAGATACTTACGAAATATTCGTTAGGTGAATGAATGTTGGCATACTAAGAACAGGTCATAACTGAGTTTGTGGGAAGCCAATAGAGAATTATAGCGGATCCACAAAGTCAACAGTACATATAAAAATTCACATTTTTAAAACAAAAACCAATTTCTTATTACACCCAATGTCTCTGGTGTCCCCATCACCGAATCGTTATAAAACCTGAAGGAAGGAGCAACATTTACATTTACATTCCACTATTAGGAATTGTGCTTTGCTTAGATTATTTCATTTATTCTACAACCTCTGAAATAGGATTTTCATCCCCATGCGTAGGTAACAAAACTGAGACTCAGGTAGGTGAACACCCTTGCCCTGGAAAGAGTAAGTGGATTCTACCCATGCCTATCTGCCTTCAGAGCTCACTTTAAAAAACCTAAAGGGGATGCTCTGAACACAGCACGTGAGGCAGCAGAGGCTGATGATCTCTGGCTCAGTCTGTGTCTCCCTGCTTAGTTCTTTCCTGCTTGACACATAGTAGGTGCTCAAACAAAAAATTTTAATTAAATTATTGGATATGCCATTTCAACTTAGTTTCTTAACATGGTATTCTGGGCCTGATGGAGACACTTCAGAGGAAATCCACCATCAAGCTTTAGAAGGTTATCACATGGGGATGCATGGGCCAATACTGTCTGTCTTCATCAAGGAAAACAGATTCGGGATGAAAGCTCAGCAGGCAGGGCTTAGGTTAGAACTAAGGGAAACCTTATAAGACATCGAACCAGGCCACTGAGGAAGACAAAAGATTTTGTCTGCAGATGCCCAACTCTCCGGGATGAGTCGGATTCCTGCCTGCTGGGTAGGCTTTGTTTCTGAGGGTCTGCAGAAGCACCAGGAGCTGCACCTCCTGCATTTGCTGCTGCAGAAGCTGTCCTCATTCAGTGGCATCCTCTTCACAGGAATGTGGAGTTGTTACTTCCTTTGATTGCTCTCTGATGCGTAGCTTTAATTGTATCCTTGCTTTTATGTAGAGAATAGAATCATATTCCCCAGAGGATAGCTAGGAAAACCCATTGCCAGCCTTGGAATACAAATAGGAGCCTGCCGAAAATGCTGCTTCATGGGTGGGCACAGGGAGACGAGGAAGGACAGTACCTCCAAAGGTCACGGGTTTATGCGTGGAGGCTTCGCCGCCCCTAGTGAACTCTTCTAGGGGTAGAAACAGCACCCATGTTATTCGTAGGCAGCTGCCTGGAAATTGCATAGGAAACTTCCCATGCACAGGAAATTGCCTGTGAGGGAGGGTTTGTGTAGTGCTGAAAAGCTACCATCCCCCCAGAAAGCTGTCCCTCACCCATATAGGAGCTTCTGTAGCCTAGTACCACTGTGGACATAATTATCTATTGACGGCCTCAATTTTTTATGTATGGTTCTCTATTGCTGAGGTCATATTGTATGTAAATTTTGTAATCTACCTCCTTTAGTTAACACTGTAATTTATAGGCCTTGGGGGGTGAAGGGTGCGGTAAAATCTAGGCATTTTACAGTGGAGGGTGACATCAGGCAGAATTGGCAGCAGTGACCAACACTGCTGCGTTGGCTCCTGGGAACTTGAGTAGTTCTGTCCCACTGGGGTTTGGTTCACCCATTTATACAACTTCATGAGGCAGTGAGCAGTGGTTGGTTCTAGGAGGTAGGATTAAAAGAGTTTGTTTTTTTTTTTAATCTTCTCTCAATTTCTTTTATTTTCTGAATTTCATAATAAACCAGTATGACTTTTATAGTCACAAAAAATTATTTTAAGTGTTTCCTCTTTCTGCTGCCAAGAAAGCAGTAAGGCATTAGAATCTGAATCAGCTGCGGTGAAGAAGACACCCAGGCTCATCTTATCATGCCTTAGGCTCCCCATCTGTGAAATGGAACAGCCACCCTGGACCCTCCCACAGTAGAGACTATAATACCATCTGTAACCTATATAGAAGAACCATTTCTGGGAGGTGGCTGAGCTTCATGATCCACTGCCCCCCACCCCTCCAAAGACCCCAAGCCTGTCAAAAGAAGATTATTCATTCACCTTATTTGTGATCAAAAGCTCCCAATTTAGGCACTGTTGAGAACAGATTGGAATCCAGGTATCTCTAGATCTTGAAAAAAGGGAGTCAAGCTACCTTCTTTTCCCATTGTCCATTTATAGGGCTAACATTCATTAGGTGTAAGAGACATGGTGCCTAGGGACCACAACACTTTTAGAGGTCCATGAAAATGTTTTAATAGATAATGTATTTGTCATTCCATCAACACAGTTGTAAAATATAAGCTTTCATATTGTTTGCCCCTAAAGGCAAAAGTACCTAAGGCCCATGAAAACCATAATGTAGCCCTATGCAGCCCATATCAGCGTCATATTTCCCAAGCCCTTCCATGAAATCAAGGTGGATTGTGGACCAGAATGCCTACCACTCCTCTCTATTCATCTTCTTCATCTTTCTGGTACAAAAAACAAAAAACAACAAAAAAACAGAACTTGGGTGTGGATTTTTGGCATGAAAATAACTAACCATTAGGTCAGACTGAGAACCCACAGCAGAATTAGGCAGATGAAGACATATTTAGCAGACAGCAGAAGAAATAGCTTTTTTAATTGCCCACATAAACAACCATTACAACACAGGAAGGATAAGAAGCAATAACTCTAAGAAATGAGCTGGCATTTCCCCCTCTTCTTGAGAACGATTACCCCTCATTCCTTAGGATAAGGTGTCTGTGAAATGTGAATATCCATTTTAATAACTCTGGTCCTTCTTTTCAAATTAGAGTTATAAATAAATAAGTACAATTTGCAAACCATTTGATTACATCCCTGTACTTTCCCAAGATTCCCTAAGGAGGCACTTACACCAATTTGTGCATCATTAAATATTTAAATAAAAACTCGAGGTGAATTATGGGGCAAAATGGCATTTATGAAGCACATGTTTGGGCACAACGCAGCACCAAGTCTTAGACCCCTGCAGCAAGTAGAACACTGGGTCCCTGCAGACCAGCAATAGAACAGTTGAGTTCTGAAGGGAGAGAATCTTGGTTTCAAGGGAGGAAGCCAGTACAGAAACCCCCAGTTTTACTCTGAGTCCCTTATTCAGCAGCCACAAATACACAGAATGCCACCAGGAACCAGGAAGTGAGCACACAATGCAGCCGAGCCGCCAGTCTTGTGTGTCAAAGCCCAGGCCTCCGTTGGTTTAAAAACGTTGTGCAAAAGTTTATTCAAATCACCCCAAATACCTATGGTATGAAAGAAAGGAATTTAAAATAAGAACACTCTGTTTATGAAATCAGGTGATCTTTCAATATATTTTATCATGATTTTCCTTGGCAAATGTTCATCAAACATGGCTCTATGCCAAGAGGGTGTGCACGGTAAGTTAAAATAGCCTCCACCCACAGGAATTTGCGATGTGTTTGGGAAATGCAGGAAATTCTAGACATAAATGGATCACAGCAGTATCGGGCGTACACCCTGGGTGGCACGGGAGCAGTCCCGACTGTAAGTTCTGTGTGGGCACCGGGGGAAAGGTGAATCCTCAAGTGACTGCCGAGGCACTGAGGATCCAGCAGGAAGCAGATGGCACACTCACAGGATTTAACTAGAGAGACTTTAACTAAGGAAATACTGACTGAGGTGTAGGCAGACATAAGCCAACTCATCACAGTGGTGAATGCAGGGACTAGCAACACTGGGAAGACATTGCCACCGTTGGCCTGAAGGGTCGCTGGTGCAATGGAGGAGGGGATGCTCTACACGAACTGAGGCTATCGAGGGACAGGAAGCTCAGGCTGAGATTGGGACGTAAAGACCCAACCTGTGGTCACCTGGTGATACCTCCCACAGGCCAAACCTACCCAGGAACTAGAGGGCAAGGGAGCTAGGAGACACAGTCCTGGGGCACAGATTAGAGCAGAGAGTGGACCCGGAGGGACAAATGGACTAACCCAGCATACAGGCTGGACACCGTGCTACAAGCTTTAAGAGAAAGGGTCATTTCTTGGCAGAAATGAAGGGGGAGAGCATCTGAGGCAGAGGAAGACAGGCATATACATAGGTAATGGGAAATACTTTTTTTCTGCCAGGAAGTAATGTATACAAAGTGCATTTTCTTAAGAAGAGTTAGGCTCTAACATTCAGGAAACTTGGAGGAAGAGACACAAAGCAGGATTTCTCAATCTCAGCACTATTGACATTTTGGGCTGGATGAGTCTTTGGGGACTGCCGTGAGCACTGTAGGATGTTTAGCAGCATCTCTGGTCTCTACCCACTAGATGCTGGCACCCACTCCCAGGTGTGGTAACCGAAGCTATCTTCAGACATTGACAAATGTCTTCTGGGAGGCACAGCAGGCTGCATGAGGAGGGGCAGAGGGGGTGGTGGAGGGTGACTTCCTGTTTGTAGATTGGATAACGGGGAGGATGATGCCTCTACTGGCAGAGCTAGGAATGTGTGAGGCTGGCCTTGGGGAAGGATGATGTCTATTGGGAACTTGTTTGAAGGAAGCCCGGGCGTTTAGACAAGGGACTGAGTTGAGGAGGGAGGCTGGGACTAGAGGTGCGAATTTGAGTCATCTACAGAGAGACAGGCTTCTCTCCTCCTATGGATAGAAGTTCTCCGGGAGGAAGGTAGAGAAGCCAACCACTGAAGTTTTCTTTTTTTTTTTTTTTGGCGGGGGACAGGGTGATGTGCATATTTAGAATAATGTGAGATGGAAATAGCAGGCGCCAGAGGCAGGAAAACTAGGCAGTGTTCTGTGGCGGAAGGCAGTGCAGCCCAGTACCTGTCCCTCTCACCAGCCCATCCACCCCAGGGCTATGTCTACCACAAGAGATCACGTTTCTCTAATGTGGGAACAGTCCTGAGGAGAATCAAAGCTGCCACAGAAGCCAGAAGTCTCAACACAAAAGAGGAGCCTTGTCTAGCCAACCTCCCCCCCACATAGTTAACAGTCTTCTATCTTCTTAAATCACTCAAATCCTGAAAGAAGTAGACTTTGATTAGGTGGACATTTTCACTTACATGGAATAAACAGTTTGTTCTTCATAAGTGAGCAATTATAGGAAGTGTTGTTCCCCTAGAGTCCTGAAGGAAAGGTTACACACAGAGGTAGCAGGAAGACCTGAGGATCCAGATCAACAAAGGGTAGCCATGCTTATCTGTCTCTGTCCTTCTCTCTGAAGATGGTGAACCTTCTTGTTTTTTTCCTCTCCCAAAGATGCATTTTGTGGTAGGCAGAATTCTAAGATGGCCCCTAAGATTCCAGCCCCCTGGTGTACATGCCTTGTATAATAATCCCTTCCCTTTGAGTGTGGGTGGGACCTGTGGATGTGATGGGATTATCATTCCCATGATTAAGATTATGTGGCTAAAGCAAATTTTCAGATGTAATTAAGGTACCTAATTAGTTGACTTTGGATTTCTCAAAAAGGATATTGTCCTGGGCGAGCCTGACCTGATCCGCTGAGTCTTTAAAACAGATGGAGAGAAAGCAAACCGCCATGTTGTGAACTGCCATGAAAGGCCTCATTGCTGGGACCAGAGGGAGGCTTGTAGGAGCTGAAAGTGATTCCTGGCCAACAGCAAAAAGAAAACAGGACTTCTGTCCTATAACAACCCGAAACAGAATTCTGCCTACAATCAGTGAGCATGAAAAAGGACCCCGAGCCTCATACAAGCTCATAGCCCCAGCCAACGCTTGTATTTCAGCCTGGTGAGACCCTTAGCAGAGGGTTCTGCCCTGGGGACACTGAGATCATAAATTTGTGTTGTTTTTAGCTACTATGTTCGTGGTAATTTGTTATGTAGCAAAAGAAAATGAATGCATGTATGACGAGGGACTAATGTCCACAGGGTGAACTGGCTCCATGAGGGGACTGACAACCACACCACACAGCTGAGCCCCACAAGTATGCGGGGCCTGGGCAGGCCGACTGTGGTGTGACCCTTGCTGTTCCCTAGACCAAGCTTCCCCATGACCCTAGCAGGCCACATAACTCATTTCCTCCTGTGAAATGGCCAACTTAAAATCTGAAAAAGTGAACCACAATATAAGCCACACAGGATAGGTAGAACTTACTTTCTGAGCTGAGATAGCCGTGGCCCTAAGGCTGGTAAGGATTCCTACCCATGGCACCAGATCTGTCCCTTTCTTGGCCAAATATAACTTTAGCCTCTCAGAGACTGAGCTAGCAAAGCTGAATGGACACTGATGTATCACTTCTCAGGAGGACGTCTTAGAAGCAGGAAGGAGAAGGAAGAAAGGTGGAAAGAGAAGAAGAAAAGAATTTTATTCAGCAAACAAATATTTATAGTGCTCATTACATGTGTAGCCCTATCCTAGGCCCCAGCAACATACAGTGAATAAAACAAAAACCCATGCACTCCAGTGAGAGAATATAGACCAATTAATAAAACAAAATTTTAAAAATATAGTATGGGGTGATAATAAAGCAGAGGAGGAGTTGGAAGGGGAAGGGTTTGGAAAGGGATATCAGGAGTATAGTTTGGAGGGGAGCCTGGGTGGCTCAGTTGGTTAAACATCTGCCTTTGGCTCAGGTCATGATCTCTGGGTCTCGGGATCAAGCCCCGCATCCAGCTCCCTGCTCACTGGGGAGTCTGCTTCGCCTCACCCTCTGTGCTCACTCTCTCTCTCAAATAAATAAATAAAAACTTTTTTTTAAGAGGGTATAGTTTGGGACATGTTAAGTTTGAGAAGCCTGTTGGACACTCAGTGGTGCTATCAAGTAGACAGTGGGATATTCTAGTGTGGAGCATGGGGAAAATTGGGGCTGGAGATATCAATTTCGTATCTAAAACATAAGACCAGATGAGATAAAAAAGGAGTACATGTGGATAAAGAAGAAGTCCAAGGGTAAATCCTGGGGCCCTCTGACTTTAAGGTATCACAGAGAGAAGAAAGAACCAGAGTCAGAGTTCAGGCTTCTGTAACAAAATACCACAGATTAGGGGGCTTAAACAACAGACATTAATTTCTCACAGTTCTAGAGGCTGGAAGTTCAAGATCAAAGTGCTGGCAGAGTGGTTCCTGGAAGGGCCCTTATCACGGTTTGCAGAGAGCCACCTTCTTGCTGTATCCTCACATGTCAGAGAAAGCAAGCTAATCTCCCTCTCTTCTTAAAAGGACACCAAGCCCATCATAGGGACCCACTCTCATGACCTCATCTAAACCTAATTACCTCCCAAAAGTCCTACTGCCAGATCCCATCACATTGGGATTTAGGGCTTCAACATATGCAATTGGGAGAGGGGGCACAAACATTGAGTCCTCAGCAACTAACGAAAGAGATGAGAAGGAAGAGGCAGTGAGGAAGGAGAAAAACCCAGAGAGTGTGATGTCCTGCAAAGAGTTTCAAGGATCAGAGACTGACCATCAGGGTCAAATGTTGGTGACAGGTTGAGTTGAGGCTAAGAGATAACCTTTGATTTAACATCATGTCATTTTGGGATCTTGACAAGAATAGTCTCAGTGGAGTGATGAATCAGGTAGATTCAAGAGAGACTGGAAAGAGAAATTAGAAGCAGCAAGTACAGACAACTCTTTTAATGAGCTCTGCAGTAAAGGAAGTAGAGCAGTGGGGCAAAGCTGCAGGGGAATATGGATGGGAGAAATTAGGGCGTATCTGGACATTGATGGGAATGAAGGGAAAATGTACAGTCAATTTTCAATTACACAAAAAAAGAGAAATAGTGTGACCCATTTGATGAGTTTACTTAAATTTTACGTAATAGCTGAAACATATAAGAAAGAACATATAAATTCTGAAGCACAATGAATACCCACAAAACCACCAACCACACCAAGAGCTGGACCACCACCAATCATTTCTATTTATGTGCTCCTCACTCTCCCACCCTCTGCCTCTCAGAAGAAAGCAACTTCCCTGAATTCTGTGGTTATCATTTCCTGTAAAGTCATATTCTCTTCACTATATTGTTGTATTTATTACTGATAGATCAAGGAAGACCTTACCTCTGTCCTTCAACCTACCTTTTGCAGACGGACATTCAGACCACTTTGGTCAGTATCACAAAATTCCTCTCTTATATTTCACCTGCTACACTAAAAGTCTATTTTTCATCTTCCATCTCCAGCTGGCCACTGCTTTACCAGAAACACCCCTTCTTTGACATGAAGACCGTTATTATTCATTCCTCTCTGTATAACGTCCTCCACATGAAAGCAGGAATAGACAAGCACACCTTCTTCCCTCCTAAGCACACAGAACAGACCCCACTGGGGTCTTTTTCTCCTGGAAGACACACCTGCAACACTCACACCTGGAAGATGCACCTATAGCACTCAAACCTCCAGCCTCCCCGTCTAGTCCTAAGGCAGGTGCCCATGCCTGGTGGCCCCTCCACAGGGGGCTCAGGAAGGCAGGTGATGGCCAGTGGTTAGGTTCCTTTTATCCCCAAATCACCTATGGGCAAGTGGCCAGATCATCCAGGACTGTCCAAGTATACAAGGACCTGCAAAACTTTGACAAATGCCAACAGACCGAGCCCTTTACAAATGGATGACAGCAGGTTCTGAAAAGCCTTCTGCATACATAAACCAAACACCCAGCCCCCGTGCTTACTCACTGATGCTTGAAATTGCTTTGAGAGACAATGGCTTTCATCTCACAACTAGAGAAATCTTTGAAGGCCCTGGATGAACTAACTCAATGATTTAGACTAGCAACACACTAGTGTGTAAAAGGACTGAAAGACTTGATGATGCAAGGGGCACTTTTAAAAATGAGCGTTAATTAAAAAAAAAAGAAGAAGGAAAGAGTGTTAAGTGACAAGAGGTGTAGCAGAGAAAGATGGGGCTTTTCTTGTCTGCTTGGTGAATATCTTCCTTCTTTCCCTGTTGCCTCAGGCACCTCGAGCTCTGTGCATATCCACGCTAACTCTGACCCCCTGTCTTAGCATTACAGAGATTAAGGGTGAGGAATCTGGAACCATGCAACGTAGGTTCAAATCCTAACTCTATCACTTGCTGTGATCTTGGGCAAGTTACTTGACCGCTCTGTGCCGTTTCCTCACCTGTAAAAACTGAGATGATAATAGTACTTGCCTCATGGGGAGATTGTAAAGATTAATACGTGTCGTGCACTTAGGGATCATTCTGGCACACACACACAAAAGCACTGCAAGTGCTTGCTATTATTCGCAAAGGCTCCTCCTCACCTGCCCATTTTGCACAAGCCAAAAGATCATTTTGAGCTCCCTCACTTCCGCTTTCTAATATACAAAGCCCACTGTAAATTGCCACTTTGCCAAAGACCCTTGTAAATCCCTCAGGTTTCCTAACGCCCCCAGCCCTAACCTTAAACAGCCAGGCCATCCGGTCCTCCCACCACAAGCAAAGCCCCGGCAGTTCCCCACTCTCCCAGGCCTGCGAAGCCGAACTTCCGCAACCCAAACCCCGCGGAAGGCCTAGAGGGCTGGGGCGGGACGGGGCGGGGCGCGGCGCGGCGCGGCGGGGCGGGGCGGGGCGGGGCGGGGCGGTGGCTCTGTGACGTCGCGCGCGGGCCCCGCAGCCGCGGTTGCCAGGCGAAGGCCAAGCGCTAACAAAGCGTGGTTGGTCTCGCCCCACCTCCCCAGTCCCTCGAGGCCGAAGCCGGTACCGTCTTTCCCCGCCCAGGTTCTGCGGCTTTCCCCTCGGCCAAGGGTGCGTGGGACTTGATCTGTCCCCACACCTCCCGCCTGAGGCCAGACGCGAGGTGTCGCCTCGTATCAGACGGCCCGTTTGGGAGCGAGCCTCAGGTAGCAACCCTAGAGGGGAAGTGGATGGAGGGAAGTGCCCTGAGCGCCTCCAGGGCTGCGCGGCGCTGAGAGAAGAGTCCTGCCCATGGGCCCAACTGGATTCTGAATCCTTCCTTGGTCACCGAGCAAGAGAGGGTTGTGATCTTTAAGAGAATGTGATCATGGGTGATTATTGCGCTCTGCCCAAATTGTATGTATGTTTTGTTCCCAGAGCTACTATTTTATAATTTCTTACACAGAGGACAGTGATTCGAAACCAGAACAGAATCTGGGATCAGAGCCCTCTCTAGCCAAACCACTTTCCCCCCCCATATTTATGGGGGGGATTGTCATGAAGATTAATGGGTGTGAGTACACTTTAAAACTGCTATCAATCTTTCATTTTCCTAATATCTATTGATCACTGACTGTGTTCCAGGCTAGGCATTGCGGATTCCATCGTGAGCAGAAACTGGCTGTCCCTACCCTCAAGTTTAGTCTACTGGGGGTGGCAGATGTTAATCGCAGAACTACACAAATACTGTGAAATTAGAGCTGAGCTACGTGCTGCCAAGGAGAGGTCCGTAAGTGGTGCTCTGAGAAAGTGTAATGGAACTGACAGGTCAGGGAAAGCTGAGCTGAGAGATCTAAGAACGTGCGAAAAAGTGGGGGGTTTATTCCAAGCAAGGGTAACCATATGTCTAAAACCCACCGTCTCCTATTCCAAGCCCAAACAAGTATATACAATAACCTGGTCCTTGGTTCCCAGAGCTGTTCATAGAAACTGCCTCTGAGATTCTGATGTTGGAGCCTTTAATTCATGTAACTGTGGCCTTTC